GCCTGGAGGAGCCAGATATATTAGATCTGGTTTTCATTGATGCGCTGGTTCTCTGCGACATGTTGCTGTCGATTGGATTTCTTCCTACATCTGAGCTGTTTCCGGAGGATAGCTCTAATTGCTGTCCAGTTCCCCACGAGACTGGTCTTTGAGAGGCTGTCGTTTTACTGTAATGTCCTCTGCCTCTAACGCCTTGCTAGAGTCGACATTCAGACTAAACTCCTCTTCAAAATGACCACGCAGACAAGAGGGTTTGACTTCACTCCCTTTACTTAGGCCAGTTGAAGTAGGGTAAACGACAATGCCCTTAAAGACCGTCTTAAGGGAGACAAATGCCACTACAGCAGCGGACGGGAGAACGGGAGAAGTCCTTTCCCCAAACAATAACATGCGCTTTCTGATGACATCATCGAACAGAGACAGAGTCGTGCATGTTACACCAGGTCGTGCCAGAAGAGGGCACTAAAGAGTAACTTTCTCAGGGAAAATCTATTTAAACAGAACCCGGTTACATGGTGACAGAACAGTGAGTGTTGAGTAATTATGAGAGCATGAGGGTGGGAATGGTTGTTTGTATCTGTGTGTGCCTGTTTGTCTGTGTCCATATGTCAGGTCGGGTATCAGATGTCACCTCTCTGGAGGCCTATCTCCCCCCACCACTTCCCCTGCCAGTGGCAGACGCCCTCGGACATCGGTGCGTTGGTGGTTCTTTGTGTCTAGGGATGGGCATCCGGGTACACACCGGCTCACTCCTTGGTGGCTGCTTGTCGGGGCCTGGAGCCTGGGGTTCTCCTCAGCTCTTTCTGGGACAGTGGCACGGCTGCCCCTCTGTTGGTCTTCCTTCGTCTCTTGTGTTCTGAGGGCCTCTGGATGTCTGGAGTCTTGATCTCCTCCATACCTGCTTCATGCCCTGGTGGACGGGGCTGTGGCTCCCTACACCCTCTAACAGATCATTACATAAAGGAACCTTTTAAATACAAGCGCGCTCATGCTCACAGGTGTACACACGGGTGCTCACAAACACAAACTACACCCTTTTTGGCTCCTACCTCAAAGCACACTGTGCGCTGTCGATCTTACGTGCTGCAAAATAATGTTTAATATTTAGTATTTACTGTTATATTCACATAGATCATCGTGATGTTGTTTATTATGTTGCTCTTTTTTTTCTCTTTCTTCTGCTTGTTTTCTCTTTTTTCTTTCTCAACAGGTGATCCAGGTGATTGATATATGTATTTTTTGTCTGCTTATTTTGTTGTTTTTTTGTTTTTTGCCCTTTATCCCCATCCCTCTTCCCCGCTGTTTTTCTTTCCCTCTTTCTTTCTCCCCTTTCTTTTCCCCAGTCTGTCCCATATTTAACAAGTAAAAATAAATAAAATAAACAATAAAGGGTGAATCAAATAGACCATTACGGCAAGGCTGGGACGGTCCATTTGGTAAAGTAAATCCGTTGGGCATCTTTCTTCACCTTTAGACAATAATTCTGATGGCAAAAGAGCCAAACAGGACAGACAAAAAAAAAAAAAGAGAATATCATCCCTGGGGTTCAGTTTGATAAATGCACCTTCCTGTTTTATTGCTATAATCCATCATGCAACGTTATTTTCATCAGATATTTTTCTACAGAACGAGTGAGCTAGACTGTTGATAGTGAAGAGCAGTCCTCATGGGACATAATTCAATGTGGTATGTTGTCTTCTGTAGTTTAATCAAATGTAAAAATAAACCTTAATGAAATGGTCCTAAAACATGGAAAACGCTTTTGTGTATCTAAATACTGATCTGATCTGACACATCATAGGAATGTAACTTTGATGGCACTATTCTGTTTTTCCAGTGATTTCTTCCAGATTTCTAGTTATTTCTAAATGTTGCCGAAATCCAACTCATTGCTGCATATACGGCTCCTGGGATCAAAAGCAGAAACATTCTTGGGTAAAACCAGCAAACACCAATTTTTGCAGCTACCCAGATGACCACGGCAGTGTCAGAACAGTAATAAAGAGATGACTCAGCTCTATAAACAACCAACCAAACTGAAAATATAAAGATCATGAAAAATTCAGGTAATCATCCAAAGTGCAGTATGTTATCTTAAAAGGGTTGGGGCTGAAAATAAGTTTGGTAATAAAAATAAATATAACTCTCAGGAGAATGTGTTTGCAAAAATTAAAATTACCTTCGGGTAACCTCAACGCACATCTTTCTGTTATCACGCCTTAGAGATGAACACAGTCTATGAGATGCACAAAAACTATTCAAATTAATGAAGCCGAGGAGTCATGTGCTCATAGTTTCTGTAGAAATGTTGGATTGAAATTGTTTTCCCCAAAGAAGCATTTTACAATGTTCAGCCAGACAGTAAAATGTTATAGTAGATGTAGTAATAGTTTTTACAAGACCTTCATGGCTCCCAGAAAATGATCTGAATGCGACAGATACCAGAAGTCTCGACGTTTATTTCCTTTCTGTTTCTTTAGTTGGGACCCTAATGACATTCACACTGCCCTTGGGATAAATTACAGCCTGTTATGTATTCATAAAATGTATCCATTTATTGTCAGGTGAAAAAGTTAAAGTGTCCAATACCATTGTGACTAAACACTAACATTCCCCAGGAATAAAATAGCAGTAACACAGGCACCAAAGTCCAAGGAATGTCAGTTAGAGTCAGCAACTTGTAGATATGACCCTAAACCGTACCTTGAGTTTTTAGTTGTCCAAATATCAGCATAAAACAGCAGCTCTCAGATTTATTTTCAAAACTGTGTTAAAAAAATTAGCACTGCAGCTGTGCACCAGTATACTTAACTCCATGTTTATTTTGGGACTGTGGGAGGAACCCACATGGGGAGAACCTGCAAACTCTACACAAAAACAGCCCCAGACGGGATTCAAACTGAAATCCTTCTTGCCGTGAGGCAAACCATGCACTTTTGTGCCACATGTATTGCCACACTAGTGTTATCTAATGTTATATAACGAGAATAGAGCCCAACTGTTCACAAAAATATAAGTAAACATTTCAGAAATGTGGTGATTTTGGCTCAAAATTAAATGGTGAGCCTGGAATATTGCTCATCATCCTACCCATGAGTGCCATAACGCTAATGTCTGTGGTTAAGCTATAACCGCTTTGCACCTAGCCACAGAACATCATACAGACAAATTTGGCAATTTAACAGAAAACAGGCAACACAAACAGAGACAAACACATTTTGAGTTAATTGGGTCAAACAGCTAATGGCAAGGCCCCTGTTATCCTTTGCTCCGACAATTCACAAGAATCACTCGTCCCATTCGACTATTCGAGAGACAGATGCCCTCTCTACTTATAAGGTTAGGCTTAAACTTTCCTTTGTGATAAAGCTGTTTTCTTTGTATTGTGGGAGGGTCTTTACCTTACAATAAAAGGCACCTTGAGGCAACTATTGTGATTTGGCATGACATAAATAAACTGAATTGGACTATTGGTCAGATTTTAGTAAAACAGTGATCACCTGATGGTTCTTCACTGAAATTGTTCTCGTTGTCAATGTCAAGGTTACAGTTGTTGTTTCATGGACATTTTTCCATTTTCACAAGAATTACTGCTTCTCCTGGAGGTCCAGTTTTAGTGAAATGACATTAATTTGTCCTGGATCCACATGTTTATAAGCCTGCTTGACTTCTCAGTGGATTTCAATTCTTATGAGTTTCTGCAATAAAGCCAGCCAGTGACAACAAAACTTTCTTTCTGCACCTCACACAATACAATAACCTCTGTATTATGATGGATCATGAGGTGGATGAGCTACTACATCGCTGACATTCTAGCAAAGGTGTCCGTGCCCGAGAGCCCAGTCTATATGATTAAATAGAATAGAATAGCTTTATTAACCAAATCAATGGAAAATTGTCTTTGTTTCACCAAGTCATAAATCAACCAATCAAGTTGCTTCAAATGAACCCACATTCATACATATACATATACAATACTTCAATACAACGATAAAAACACATCACAGCATCTCATTATTCAGAGTATCGATTGCTCTTGGTGCAAATCATCCCTTATATGTCGTTTTAAAAGGCATTAATTTGAAATCAGAATAGAGAGGGGGGTCACGGTCAGCAATAATAGACCGGGCTTTAAACAGACTGATGACACAGTTTATCCAGTTTAATTTGTTGTCGATCAATAATTTGTTTCTGAAAATTACTTTACACATCCAGTCATCCACACACTGGTGATGGCAGCTACATTGTAGCCACAGCCACCCTGGGGCGCACTGACAGAGGCGAGGCTGCCGGACACTGGCGCCACCAGGCCCTCTGAACACCACCAGTAGGAAACGGGTGAAGTGTCTTGCCCAAGGACACAACGACCGAGGACTGTTCAAGCTGGGGCTCGAACCGGCAACCTTCCGATTACAAGGCGAACTCCAGCTCTTGAGCCACGATCGCCCTATTATATGACTGATTATTATTATTATTATGTAATATTAATTGTGTGTGTGCGTGCATTACATTGCAAATGTGCACATTATTTACTATTCCCTACATACTAAATGTTAGGCTTAAACCTATGATAAGCAGATGTTTTCATTTGTTTGTAGCTGCAAAACATGTGATCCTGGGCCAGTGCCCCGCTGTTTATTTTTTGTAAAATAAACATTGCCTCATATACTGTATAAATTTCAGAAATCCCAATAGAAGCACACAGGTCACGTTTTGATGTTTTGTTTCTTTATGTAAGTATGTATGTATTTATTGTTATTCTCTGTAAATTATATAATTACTGCGGGTTAAGAGAACAACAGTTTTTTTCTGTTAAGTGAATGGATTGCACACATATATATATATATATATATATATATATTATATTATTTATATATATATATATTATATAAAAATTTGGTTTAGATGGACACGAGAAACGTGTCCATCTTAAACGAGAAACGCAGAGTTTACAGTCTGTGTTCCTTTCCGGTTCATTTTACTGGGCGAACCAACGGAAGTGATCGCTCCGTGGTGCTGTGTTGAGTTGGAGACGGTAGTGTAATTTATTTACATCTCCTACCTTCGTGTTTGAATTCCTGACATTTTATGTAAGTATCCTTTCTATTTTCAACTTAAAAATGTCTTCCTTGTTATTATATTAACTTTAAAGGAACATTTAGAGAGCAGTTGACAGATACGGTGAATAGGCTAACACTGGCTAATTAGCCTCACATTAGCATTAGCAGGAATTTCTCTGTTTACATAGAAATCTTTTTACTTCAAATTTAAATAAAGTTTGAATTGCTTCAGAGTAGTATAATCACTCATCGGGTTAACATTTGTTGTGGCATTGCTTGACTCGTAAATACAAAATACAAGAAAATATTCAGGTTACATGACTGAACTTCTCCGTCTGAACGTCTCCTTTTTAGCTGCACGTTTCTTCTGATGTCCACATGTGCTGTTGCTGTTAGATAGCGTTTCATTCATGGGTCCCTATACTTTCAAGCCCTTAAACGGGTTAAAATTGTGTTATTTTGGCTCCGAATCAATCGGCTTTTGGTATGTGACTTTACTCAGAAGCACAACGGATGGTAAAGAAAACGAGTCTTTGTTTCTACCATGGCTGGCAATAAATATAAAACATCAGGACACGACCACACTGTTACTAAAACAGAATTCACAATGACAGCAACGAGGTCGGCGACTTACGTAGGTTGTGTCGTAGACGTTAAAAAGATGCCCACAGAAGTCTAAATCCGACCTTTATCTGCACTTCATCGATGGTGACACCTCTTCCTATTCTTAACAACCACTGGATGAAACCAGACCTTAGAAACTGTCTGTGTTTATTTGGAACCAGAGCCAGTGAAATGTGGGACACAGTCTCAATATGTGGGATAAGGGATAAAATACTGTAACACAATAATCATGGTTTTTTTAGCTCAGTATTAAGCTTGCAATTCTTTAACTTGGTAAGACTTTTGAGCTTTTTAAACAATGATGAAATGTGTTGCTTGTTCTTTGTCACTTTTTAAAATCAAAGTTATTCCAAACAGCTGAATTGGTTTTCGTTTTGATGACCAAAAAGTCTCTCTTTATTCATTTTGGTTGAGCTGACCTGCCAAACCTGAAGGGAACACTGGGTGTTTAGTGCGAGGCAAAATTGTGTCAGTGCAAAGGAAGGGGATTCACTGGATTTATAGATAGGGCAAATATGAACCCTCACCCTTTGTTAAAAGACAAAAAGCACAGTCGCAGTCATTTCTGTTAATTTCTTTAAAAGCTATAGTTCTAATTGAATACAGACTTTGATTAATAGCCCATCTTAAAGTCTTTAGCCTGTTATCTCATTGTGTGATCCATCTTTGCATATATATTTTTTTAATTTATTTATTTTGTATTTATATTCTAACTTCTTTCTCATCTCTTCCCCTGTCTAGAGCCTCCAGGACTCATCTCAGCAAGAATGACAGACCGCTACAACATCCACAGTCAGCTGGAGCATCTTCAATCAAAGTATATCGGCACAGGACACGCCGACACCAGCAAGTGGGAATGGCTGGTCAATCAGCATCGTGATTCCTACTGTTCCTACATGGGACATTTTGACCTGCTGAATTACTTTGCTGGCTGAGAACGAGAGTAAAGCGCGTGTTCGTTTCAACCTGATGGAGAAGATGCTTCAGCCATGTGGACCACCAGCAGATAAACCTGATGATGCCTAGATCACACTGGAGTGAGCAGTGGATGCTTTTTGTTAGAAACAAAAAATATTCCAGCTAAAACTGCTACTGCATCCTTGTTTGACTCCACCATTACTGGATTCGTTGTGTACTTATAGAGAGAAGACTTTTCTTTTTTTTGGTTTTATATGGACCAGAACAAAATATTTTCTTGCCCAGCACAGTTTTCTAAACAGTTGTTTAAAGGTGAAAGTGCTTTAACAGCTGAACATGTACCAGAGGACATATAGAAAGCAGGTATAAGGTGTAGTACTTTCATCTGCATGTGTTTGCATTAAAGGATGGAGATGTATTCTTGATTTCATTAAAATTAGTCTTTTTCTATTTTAGCACTTGTTGATTGCATTTACATGAATTTAGATTTAATGGCCAATGGTTCGGATTCATTGACCTGTTGTGATTTACAATGTAGTAATTTATACAGTAAGTTTAAAAAGAAAAATCAGGAAAAAAAGTTTGTACCCAATAAAAACTGATTTAGTATTGACAGTGTTGGGCAGCAACAAAGGGACAGCAGTTCCAATGTTTCTTGGCATGGTTACCGCTCATCCCTGTGACACAACAGGGGGAGTGAGAACAATTTGTGCAAAAAGAATATCTGCTCATCAGGTGGAAAGTGCTTTCTGTTACACTCCCACACTACCTGTAGCTGTTCTGTTGGATAGAAAGTAGTTGCTGTGAAAGCCAGCTCATGTCCAAGTCATTCAGAGTCTTGGTGGAAGGATTTATGTTTCCACTGAATCAGGTTTTTTTTTTTTTTTTTTTTTTTTTTTTTTTTGTACTTTGGCACTCACATTAAAAAGAAAAATGTGTGCACAGGAGATATTTGACTAAACCTAGTCATGGAAAAAACTTTTAGATATGAAAAGGTAAGCCGGTTTACAAAGAGAACTAAGGGATAGAGAACAAGCTAGCAGATCTTGTGGGGGAGCATTTGCACTGTGAAGAAGGAAAAGTCAGCTTTGATTATAATGGAATAAAATTGTAAAAACAAAGTGAAGCGAAAAACAAACAGCTCATTGTGCAAAGCACCCTCCTTATCTGTAAACCGCGTTATGGGACGAGCATACATGGTTGCCAGTAGAATTGGAACAATAGTATTGTAATCACCAGGTTGAATGGAGAAGTGTACAAGAGCATTGTGTGTGCTCAGATTCAGCCAAGTTTCTCCAAACATCCTTTGCTGATGTTTAATCACTCAATGTAGCTGTTTTCCAAAGTATTACACAACCAAAGCCTAATCAGAGAGCTCAAAATGACTTGATTGAATATTCTTGGTGATAAATAGCCTACAAAAACAGAACTGACCAGTTTTCTAATTCGTGTTCAACGCACACACACTTGAGCCGACAAAGATCAGCTGTCCGTGACTGAGACTTGGCATGCTATATTTTTTTATATATATAAACATTTTGTCAATGAACATATGTGATATTCATAGTTAATTGAGCTTTAAAATTCTGTCTGCTACCTTTTATTTACAATTCTGAAAAGCATGTAACAGTGATCAGATTTCAAATGAACTTTTCAAGCAGGTGCAGCAAAAACCTCTGTAGCACAGCTCAACAGCGGTGGTCAGGGTAGACATTAAGAAAAAATTTTCCAGAGAATGAATTTGGATCTTTGATAAGGAGTGTGGGTTTATTATGCCACCAACCATGGGATCAGGTTTTTTATAAAACTAATTGCCTCAGGCTTGTTAAAGTCGAGTCTATGTGTGATGCTGCGGTCCATACAAGGACTTTGCTTGGGAGCAATCAGAAAGGCACAGCAGGGGCTGAGGTTTCACTTGCTGACTTAAGGTGGTTCATGAAAGTATGCTGTCATCCAAATTTGCGCACACAGTCAGTTGGTGGGAGAGGACGCTAAACATGACTCATTGTTGGACTGTGATAGTAGTCAGGAGGTGCCAGGGAAGTTTTTGTGTCGTGTATTATGGCTGAGATTGTGTGTTGGAGGCTTTCTTGTGGGGTAAGTCCTTGCCATCTGTCCTCACTGTCAGACTCGGGGAGACAGCGCTGCCAAGTCAGGCGAGAAAGCTGCGTGAGGTTTTGTTGGTGTGCGGTCTCGCACACACACGCATGCGAAACACATAAAATGCTTGACTATGCAAGACGTGAGCCCATAAATAATTGTCTGCTTCTCAATTTTCTGTTTAGTTGTATCATATGATTGTGTGATCTCAAGAACAGCCGATATCGAATATGTATGTGAGGCACCCTGAAAGAAGGCCCTGTTTTCAATTATAAAAATGACACATTCATTTTTTTTTTTTTTTTTTAAATCACCAGCAGCTATGAGAAATTATCAGAGCATCTTCTAAAGCACTGAGCACCATCACAAGGTTTTTTGTCAGTGCTGAGAAAAACATGTTATTTAACAGAAAGCCTTTCTTGTACCATTACGTCACTACAGTTTTGTGTAAGAAATTGCTTTGAAGCACAGATGAAAAACTGTTCACACAGTAAGAAAATGTGAAAGCAGCATACAGCTGTTGTGTACTGTTTTTCTTTTCCAAGTCTGTCACCAGTGACCATAAATACTCAAGCCTGCCTGCCAACAGTCTTAAATCCTCACCATGACAGCTACAAGGTCATAATGAACACTCATCTTCTACTCATTATGAACAAGGAGCAAAACCTGTCTCTCATGATCTCATATAAATCCTCTAGTTAATGAATGGAGCATAATATTAAAAAATAAATACTTGGATGATTTATTGGACAAATAAAATATTCAGACTTCCATCCAGCACTTCTTAGCCAACTAGCGTCACAGGGAGTGAGAGAGGCAGGGTACATCCTAGACACTGAGCCATCACAGAGCTAAAGCATAGAGACAGATGAACATTTATTCTCAAATTCAGACCTATGGCCAATTTGGAATCACCAGTTAAGCTAACATGCTTGTTTTTGGACTTTGTGAGGAAGCTGGAGTGCCCAGACACCATGGCCACAGGCACAGACAGGACATGCAGACTCCACACAAAAATGCCCCAGCTGACCCTAAATCAAGAATATTTCATATACTGCTCGAAAAAAAATAAAAGGAACACTTTTTAATCAGAGTGTAGCATCAATTCAATCAAACCTCTCGCATATTGATCTGGTCAGTTGAGTAGCAGAGTGTTGTTAATCAGTTTCAGCTGCCTTTGTGTTCATTAAATTAACAACAGGTGCACTAGGGCTAGTGTCTCTACTGGTAGTCCAACTCCTCCAGCATCCAACACGTCAATATGTGCAATTTCCAGAAGGTTTGCTGTGTCCTGAGCACAATCTCAAAAGCACATGGGAGATTCCAGGAGATGGGTAGTTACTTTGGGAGAGCTGAAAGAGTGGTAGAAAGTTCTTTCAGAATGATTAAAGAAGAGGATGGCCGATTTGGATTCATTATTTGTTGTCTTTAAAACCATTCAGCATGATTGTTTGGTGGTGTGTCAGTAATGGTCTGTGGAGGAATATCTATGGAAGGTTGCACTAACCTTAGTCTAGGTAACAGCACTATGACTTTGGTTAGGTATTCTTGAATCCTTGGACCCATCGTCAGACCATGTGCTAGTGCAGTGGGTTGTGGGTTCCTCCTGGTGCATGACAACAGTCTGCCTCACGCCGCGAGAGTAGGCGGTTCCTGGAGCATGAAAAAATTGATACCATTGACTGGCCCCCTTCCTCGTCTGACCTGCATCCAATAATACATTTTGTTTCAGTCCATCCGACGCCACCAGGTTGCACCCACAGAAGATCAGCCATGCCCTGGTCCACAACTCGGAAGAGATCCCCAGGATGCCGTCTGTTGTCTCATTAGGAGTATGACCTGACATTGTCAACCCTTTGTAGGCTGACAATTTCATTTCCAACAAAGGAAAGTGGCATCCCTTTTATTCCTAACACATTACCCAGTCCAGATATTTTTTTAATTTATTTATTTTTAGCAGTATATTTTACACCTGTCAGAAAATTACTCTGTTGATCCCAAAAGTCCAAATGTGAAAGAGAAAAGAAACTGGCAGAACACACCATAAACTGAGACACTAATGCTTTTAGTGTAATCACCCAAACACATAACTGGGTGTGATAGCTAAACCCATTCTGCCTAAATAGTTAAGGGTTCTTTTATTTCATGCTATTATACTGTATGTCTTACCAGACTAGAAGCACTGATTTTTCTCCAGACTAATCTGCATGTATATTGGGCAGATGGGCAGTCATACTGTTGGAAACAGTTCTTAAGGAAGAACCAGAACCCCTGTGTTGCTTTATATTCACTTTATTCAAGCTTCAGTTAAAAGATTCAAATCCTTTGAAAGTATTTCTCAAATAATATTTCACTGGACTGATTTATTTTATTTAAGCTCATCATGCTGGAAATGCAAAACTATTTCTGTTTATCAAGTAACTGGTTGAAAATACACAAAGAAAGCTATTTATTGTCCTTTTCTCTCTTCCCACATCTAACTCGTCACATTCGATTTTGTCAACGAGCAAGTCACTGCACTGCTGTCAAATCTTAAAACGGCTTCTTTCTGTCGAGCTGTCAGCTGTCACTTCCAGTGTCAATGGATGCAGTCCTCCTCCACCTCATTCACCCCCAGTTTTCCTCAGAGCCAGCTCATCAGAAGTTCCTGTTCCACATCATATGCATGCAGACTTCCATCATTACAGCGTCACCACCACCGGTGTCTAAACCCATTGTTATGTTGATTTTACTACAATGGGCTACTGATTGGTGTAGATTATCAAATAATTGCTTCATTTAATGCAGTTGCACTGCAATAACTCTTCTTTATGGTGAGCTTCCATGCCACTGATCAATAAATGCAGGCCCACTTGAACATTTCGCAGCTAAACAGCTAATCAATTGATCGAATCTCGTGCGGCCCGCTCGTTTTCGCCTCAGCTAGGTAACCTTTCAAGATCCTGCAGGGTCTAGTTGAGGCAATTAATTCTACTCCCTATGACTCTTTGCAAATCACAGTCAGGAGTGGAAACTGGAAACTGGCAGCACCGTGTGTTTGCATTTACAAATGGAGCTTGACACATTGAATAGCATTTGTTAATAAACCACTTGGCCTTTCTGTGTTCATGCTGATGCGA